ATATCCTCAGCATATTAAAATTAATCTCGAGGAATGAATGAGATTTTTTCGAAAAACATGACGTATGGCAAAAAAGAAACAAATAGGAAGTCTCGAATGGGATTATAGATTCTCTCCAAAGGGGACAGAGTTTATGAAAGACAACTCTTCAAATTTCACTCAGCATAGAATAGTAATGGTAAAACAATATTACGAATAGAAAATTTATAATATGTCGTTGAATGCATGTTAGCGTAAATCCAAGGATGAGATCTACAAGCTTGAACGAGGGCCATTGTTTGAACGTTAGTGATCCCATGATCGTTAGTGATCACTTACGATCATAGATTCACAGAAATAGGTGATTTTCTGAAAGTATCGCGCATTGATGAACTGTTCCGTTAAACATCTTTATCTTCACATTTATTCAATTGTATATTCTCATGATGATCGCAAGAGTACCGTTTTCCACTCGCCTGTGTCCTTAAGTTTGCATTCCATTCACGTCAGTGGATGAAACAGATACTTTGCTAACCCATAAGCATAAATAATCAGCGCAACCGCCATCAATATACGAAGCATTTTCGTTTGTCGTTCATTCCTTAAATGTTTTGAACAAGATTATCCCATACAGAAATGCTGACGATTCAAATCGAACAATTTTTTTCAAACTGCCGTAAAAGGTGACCTTTGCAATACCACAGATCAAATTTCACTGTCGTAGAAAACTGATTAACAATGACGTCTATGTCAAACGAAGGTAAATTATCAAAACACCGATTCAACGAAACTTCTTCAATCGTTTGAAACCAGAATCACCCCACCTTCCGGTCACCATTCAGGCAGACGACATTTGTTGTTCAAAACACACGTCTTATCTAGCATTGGACTATGCAGATTCTGACATTATCAATGAATTACCATAAACATAGTCAAATTGAATGATGAGTTCAAATTATCATTGTTCAAAACAATTATTAACATAATTCACAACATTCCAATCAAATTCACTTTTCGTGATGGTTTTACTTACTCCCGGTACGATTCATGCTCAGGCTCGACAAATCGTTCACCTACTAACCATACAGATGTACAACAAAATTCGAATGTCTCACTTCACTGTTCAAAAAGACAGTGTAATAGACAAGCTGAATGCATGTTTCTAATGATCACCCTGACACTGCCAATTGTAAGCTAATGTTCACATTGATCAACAGAGATACAGTGTATTGAAATAAGAGCTGCCCAGCAGGTGAGATAACTTCAGAAAACAAGCTATATCTCTGCCCGGAATTGCCCAACAATCTATATGTTTTTCTGATACTAGAGAATCTAGGGAACCGACTGTATTGGTGGACGAACCTGAGAAGAGGGATAGTCTGAAAATGGCGACTCTGATGTTGTTGAAGTTATCCACTGAGTTTTTCTGCGAATGTTTTTATTTGTGACAATATGTTGAAACACCTCGACGCGTTTCCTGTTGCTATGAACTCAAAAGAACAAGTCTTTATATTTCACCGTACTCGTTATCGGCACAATCGCTATCGATATACGAAGCATTCTCGTTTATCGTTCACTCCTTAAAAGTTCTGAACACCGTTCGAAACTTATCCCACACACAAACATTGACGATTCAGATGGAAAATCCTTCTTTTTCAAACTGCCGTAAAAGGTGACCTTTACGATGTATGTTTATGAACTCAACCAATCAATTTACGTCTCGCACATCGCCTATTCGACGATATCATTCCAATTGTCGCAGTTAACTACTCTTTTCATACATGGCTGATCCGCAATTTTGCATTTATTGTCTTGCCATCTCATTTTCGGGCGATCCCGACTTCTTTTTCCGATTCTAGACTGCCACTCAGTGCAACTCCTCATCCAATTTTTATTGCCCATTAATTTTCCTTTATTTTGCACAATCCGACTGTAAAAATGGAATTTTCTGCACTCATTCTCACAAAAATTATTCCTAAGTCATCTAAAAAATTGCACTCTTAGAATGTTACGCATAGTCTGACTGAGTGTGTACGATACTTGTTTACAAATATAATGGAACGGAGCATCTCGAGTGTCAATGATTACTAATGAATCGACACTATTTATTTTCAAACACAACCACGAGCAATAGCAACGAAATGTACAAAACAAAAAATTCCGAAAGTACAACAAACCAAAGATGAATTATAATTGCAACAGTCTAACAACGAAATATTACACTACAGAATATTGAAGAAGTATTCATAAATTAGATTCAAGCGGTTAGTCACTATTTGCACTTGTTGTCATAAATGAATAAAATTACTGATGAAGAGCAAAGAACGTTCTTATTTATGTACAGATATAATTACATAATTGCATTGTTTTCATCATCCATACACCGCATTTCGTCTGAACGCCTCCATTAATGGTAGAATGCAAACGAATTAAACTCAGTACAAAACAACAATCACATATAATGGTTTTGACTAAATCTATGAAAATTTCGCTCAGCGATAAGCGACTTCGACAGAACGGTTGCAGTGGTGACACCAAATTCGTACGTCTGTGATGACTACATTGGCATGCTCATCTCAAATTTTCATCCCTACAAGAAATGACGGAAGTTCAACGTTGACATCATCACACGGATTCACAAATTATGTTCCGTTGGCTTAAAACAAACATAAAACCGGGATTAGAAAACGAAATTGAACGAACAATGATCAAAAGCGCAACTTAGTGAAGACATTGATTGATGAACCACTACAAAAACACCTCCTAAAACATGGCAAGTAATAAGAAACACAGAAGATTAGATCCTAGAAAGTGTCAACGAACAATTTACTCAGAATGAAACTACTTTCAAAATTACATCACTGAACAATTAGCTCCTCATCTCTCAATCTATAATAAAAGAAATAACAAATTTCAAATTTGCAAATAACGTCGTCAACAACCTCAATATTTCAGCAACGATTATTCATGCTTAGCGTCCAACGGGTATGTGAGAAAATGAATGAATATAGCAGATCGAGTGAATGCTTGAAAATGAACAATTAAGTGTACAACTACAAAGTGAAACGATGCTCTTTTCCGTTCGGTAGCATCAGTGTAATTGACTTCGAATTAATCCAAACGATGCGCGCTCGGAACGGTTGTGGTGAGCCGCTTGGAGAGAGCACTGGAAATATGGCTGGTGCTGGCTGAGTGCGCACACAACGCAGCTGACTTTGACCCATCCCCTACAAATGTTCATTGCAATATGAATAATGCTTCTTCAAAATGTTACTACAACTGACGAATTCACTTCGAAATGGCATACATACAAACGTTCTCAGTGAAGTTCTTACCAGAAACGTCTGTGAAGTTTGCCAGAATGACAGTTTCGCGTCTTCGGCGCCATAAGTGGCCAAATATTTGCCATCCTCTGAGAACGAAACCGATGTTACGCTACCATTGTGCGCTTGAATCGTCTGCAAATCGAAAACATAAAATATCAGATAATACGATTTAAGTTTATTCATCACAAATTCTATCTAAACACATTCTATAAAAGTTGTAAACACCATATTTAACATGAATGGATCAAACTCGGATTCGCAGAGTGCAATCTTACGATAACGTAACGATAATTTTTACTTACAATGGAGGACGATTTCATTCGGTGAATTCACAGAACTCAAAAATCTGCGCTCAACGCCACAAATATCAATTGAGAAACAACAATGCAAATCAAACATCAAGTACGAGTGATACTCTAAAAACAACCTGTGATTTGGCAGCTCTCAACTCATGCACCACCACGCTACCATTTCGACCACCGAACGCAATTCGTCTTGTATTCGCGCAGTAGCCAACCATATAGAACCTTGAAATCATTCAAATAAACCACTTTACACAACTTTACTTTCTGTCATTCATTAACGAAATTGACAGGTCGTGTTACAAAAGATCCTTAATACAGCATGTACGTATGGCTATGATACCACTGCTACTGTGGAGATGAAAATTGATTCTGCACAAACAAATACTCAAATAAATATACACAAACAAACTTTGTGATTGGTGGAAATATTTCCGACAGCGTACGATGCTTCAGTAGCGATGTATCTAAACAATGAACTAGAATTTCACCGACCTGAAAAAAAAACCAAACGACATTTGAAATTTAAATACACATATCGTGAAGCAGCAAACAGAAAGCGAACAGACCGGTATGATGAGATCGGCCACATCTGAATATTGCTTCTCTGACAACAACTCGATTATGCGTAAAACCTCGGAACGTGACTTCAGCAAAGGGCTCGTAACCGTCTGAATGGTTTGATGTTGTGCTGCGCTATTGTATAATGCCACCTGAAAGGTGCATTAAACACACACATCAAAATAATACTCAACCGTAAAAACCACTTTCGGACTGATTGCTTCAGTTGCTCAATTTCCTGAGATCTCATAGACCATAACTACGTAAAAGCTACCAACCATACTGATAGTACAACACAAAATATGAATGCGTGATTGACATCAATTCTCCATAATCCTTACAAGCGCAACTTTTCGAAATGCTACCTAAGTAATGTGTATCCATCTCGATTGGGTTTGTGGTCGCCGCCATACGCACAGATCAAAACGATGCAAGATAGGTGCTCAGAACTTTCTGACGTTGCCATGAAAGGATCGGTTAATGTGAAGTGAACCAGTTAAAATCACGAACCTCTTTACTGAGCGCCGTGATGAGTGCCGGTGGTCGAGCGGTCGCAATTAGGCACAAGGCATGCCGCGCAGTTCGACACGCGTCCACTTGCGGCGACAGAACAGGCATTGTTGCTTCACTGAAGTTACTCATTGCGATTCAGTATTTAAAATAACTTCGAACACTTATTCTCTGTTGTCAGTAATATCTCAATTAACCGATATTTATTTAATACTTACTAGTCAATACACTTTCAATGCCAATATTGTAAAACAGTGCATGAAGTTCAAAAAACAAAATTCTCAATAGCGAAAATCACTGAACAGATCTGCTTGTAACAGAACAAATAACTACACGAAGGGTAATAAGATTAATCATCAAGTAAATGTTAGCAAATATAAAAAGCACGAAGAATGAACTAACGTTGAATACTTCTCACTGGTGGCTGCCAGATCCAAAAGACCGAGCAACACCTTACTGATATCCAGATGCGGTTGCCATACGGTGAAACCCCGTCCAAGCAGATCGATCGCGGCACGCCTCAACGGTGAATGAAATGGCAGCAACGGTGATGCGGGTGCTACCAACAGCTCGAGAAGAGAGTGTGCTGTTGAACGCGATACGTCCATCTGAGCAAATCAGAATTGTTTAACGGAAAATTTTTCCCTCTAATGATGATCTCATCAGCACAATTATTCATTATCTTAAAATTAACCTTCATCATCTCATCAGCAAATTCAGCGCCTACCACCCCCAGTAAGATGATTGCAGTCGCTTGATTCCGACGAATCTGCTGTACACCTGAGTCAATTTCCACTTGCGTTACGTCTGCAATCAATCAACCAACACCATTATCAGCACGTAAACAGCTCTTTTCAACTTCCCTATTTAATATCGTCATTATCATCATCAAAAAATACTGCTCATCTATAATTTTGAAATGACCAACGTTGTTAAGTCAGAAATCAATAGTAACAACAACAGCAACAGCACTTACTAATGAAAAAAGAACGATGATATTAACAATTATAATGACAACAACAATAACAATATCACTGACAATCATAACACCAACAGCAATGAAGAAAAAGACCTGGTATTGCGGTGTCAGGCAGTGATATCTGCGAACTTCGAGGTGGGATTGGAGGCGGTTGCTGGATTTGCTGTTGTGGTATGGCACTCGAATTTGTCGGGGCACTTCTCATCGAAGCAGTCAGTGTTCTTGAGCCGAATATTGACAGCGATGGATCGAGCAAAGTGGGCAAGAAGGCCGACCACGAGTCCACCAAACGACGTCTGCCTTTCGCACCCAAACGTGCCAACTCTCGAGTCAACAACGCCTGTGCTGCCAGACGAACTTCCATACAACGATCTTGCCATCTACAAAACAATATACAATAGCTAATTTCGACCAACTCTGCATTGATTGAATTAAATCGAACTTTCACTACAGAAAGAAACAGTATCAAGTCAAAAAATGCTGCGCAGAAATGTGATATCAAACTGGTTCATCAAAAAGATTCTCTTAGCCAGAGAATATTTGTTTGCCGAGTCACTGTAAGGAGTGATAGACACTATTCTGATTAAATATTTATATATTAACAAAAGCAAAACATCGACAACAACAAAACAACCAACTTTCTAGCGAGAAGTTCAATACGCGGTGAGCAATAAGCACTTTTCGGTTTCACCAATTCGGGCAGAAGGCAGCAGTGCAACGCAGCCAGCAACGACCACCCCTGTTTCAGCTGCGTCTCGCCATCACTCGAATCCGAACCTGACGATCGTTGTGACTGTCTCCTACAAAATGCTACAGATCGAGGCGGAAAATTGGAAGATTGTATGAAAGTGTTTATCTTTTAAGGAATCAACAAATGCGCTCCTCATAACCAATCATTCATCAACTCTGAGTAGTTAGCAGAGCAGCTGGCAACTGATTAGATCAGAGAAAAAAATAAAAATTGTGTAATCAGAGAAACGAAATTTTCCATGTGAGAATGAACAGTTCATCAGCTGGCAAGTACAAATCAACTTGAAGACTTGATGAACATCATTTTAAATGGAGATAAGTCATTCGAATCCGATCCGATCGTTGAAATCGAAGCAAACTGCGATCATCGAATCGAATAAATGAATGATCCAACTCCAACCTTATAATACTTTTCGATCGATTCATTTCAAATGTGCTCGCTGCTCTCAGTGACATCAACGTATTCGCAAGTGATATGATCGCCAACAGATGCACAGTTGTCAATGAGCTATTTAATGTCCATCTGACCGTATTTGCAAAATAATCGAAATTATTCGAGACTTTCAATTCCGTGCAAGGGGCCACTGCAATCGGCGACGGCTGTGAGAACCGGGCGTTCGGTAATAATATTGACATATGTCCTGCAATCAAACCACCTTCGAAAATCATCGAAACAAACGAACAAGAAAAGCACCTAAGCGATTTGAAAGCGAAATATTTCACGGAAACAAAAAATGTGCTACTCATAATCAAACAACTCTTCAAATATGATTGTGTAGCAGAACGGGTAAAAAATGTAACCAGAGAAACGAATCAAAATAAATTTTCTTCGGAGAATGATCAGTTGATCAGCTGGCAAGCACAAATCAACTCGATACACTTGGTGATGACAAACGGTATGAGCGACTAAAAGAATAACGACCTTGTCGCGAAACAACACCGAATGATAGTGGCACGATCGGTTTCAGCAATTTCAGCTTCTTGAAGCATACCGCATCCAAGTCAGCGTCCATCGTCCACGCATGCAACAGACTCAAACAAAGCCTTGCCACATCCAAAAACAGATTTGTTTCGGTTTGCCAGACGATTCGTGGCGCCACCATCACATTCCGCGGTTCAGGTGACGGCGATGCGGCCGATGGCGAAGGTCGTCCGCCTCGCAGAATCGTTGACAACGACTTATGCTCGGGCAGTGTTTGTGATGCAACGTAGTCATTCTCCAAAGACATCAAACCAACTGAAAGTGAATAATTACCATATGCATCAAACAGACACCCAACAACGCTTACCAATCAGAGAATCCACATTGAAGAAGACGATATGTGCAGAGTCTGGTTCGCGATTCATTGCTTGTATACACATTGGTGACGGCAAGTCCAGTTGTTTTTCGCTGAGTGCTACTGAAGAGGTTGACGATGAAGTCTTATCGTCTTGACCACCAACACCCGATGACGACGCTATTTGTCGCATCTGCAATAGTGTGCACTGTTGAAAGCAAGCAATATTTTACATTAAAACACAAATCATTCGGTTGTTAAAAATCATCATGAGCCAACTTTTATCTGGCAAACATTACAATAACGATCACAAATGTACGACTGCTCATTACCTCTATCCTCAAATTGCACAAAGTAGAGTATGATACTACCTAAGCAACACAAACGACGATTCTCAATCGCTCGCATTATCCAAATGCTTTAAACAGACATTCTAAATCAGGACTGTTTACATGAAGTAAATAACAATAAATATAATTCATGAATGAAGTTAGGGCAGCAACTGATACGAAAACGAATGCAAACAGTATCTCCGTTTACAAGAAGAAGCAATCGTGAGCAAATTTAATCCAAAAACAGACCGCATCCACATTTTTATTCCTGAACGCTCTGAACATCTGCACTGCATGTGAAGCACCAGCGCCGTCGTCTCCTTCCGCGATGCCCACCTGCTCATCGCACGCCATCATTACTTCATCACTCATCAAACCACTCAACACTCGTTCCAAATTTGCTGAATCACTCATGAACTTCAACATAAATCTTTCTTACAAGATTATTATCACAAAGAGAATAATATTACAATAATACCAATGTTGCTTACACAAATGTTATTGACGACTACAAAAAAATGACAAAATCAATGAAAATAATATCAACAAAGCGAAACAACATTCATAGAATGCAACTGATTCAATCAAAAAGTCTCATTTCTTAATCTTTCCATACAACAATTCATCTCCCTTACCAATCACAACCCAACAAACAAGCACATAAAGGCGTAGACAAGACAAAACACAAAACAGAATACAACTCAAATTCTAATGTAATATCAGTTTGCTAACTTCTAAATACATACATAATTCATAAAGACACAAACTTGAATCGGATTCGATTGTATCGAATTCTCGATCAAACAACTTACCAGTGTCCATTTGCCACACATAAACCGAGTCATCTTCACATTTCAACAACAGAAAATCATCCAGCGGTCTCCAACGCACATCGATGATCGGAAAGAGCTGTCGACTTGCCAACAATAAGCATTTGTTCTCTTTCAATGACAACAGTGCTGCCGAATTATCACCTGCTATCGCGCAAACCGTGTGTAGCACCCGAGCCTGTAAGCGCGCTCTGTCATCGCCATTCAAAACAATCAGTCAGATGCATGAAAACGTCTTTCTTCAAACACCGAAGGGAATTACAGACATAAAAAGGAATTCATATGCCCAAATATCTTCAGCGAATCGAATAATTCGCAGATATTTGAACCGATCAATATGAATGAAATGATTTTCTCAACACAAAATGACACTATTAATGATAATCTAACAGATAACAACAACTTACATTACAATTTTCGGGTGGAATCAGCAGTCTCAAAATCGGTCCACCTTGAACGCAAAAGCGATGCAAACGTGTGCCCGTATTCAAATTCCAAACGATCACCGAAAAGTCTGCAGATCCCGAAATGAGTTTCTGCATGTCGTATCGTTCGTGCTCTTCATGCGGATACAGTAGGCACGTTACGGTCGACGTATGACCCAGAAGGCGACGGCAACTCACCTCTGCAAAGTGAATATGAACGACAGCTTCAATATGAAGTGCTCATCATTCGACTGAATGCATTCCATGCTTATCGTTGTGCAATAACCAATTTCCTATCATTCCAAATATTTTCACCTTCATTCGCCTTCACTCAGCAACGTACCACCACAACTTTTGCGAATATTATATTGAGTAGCAATTTAATCCATTGCAAACACACATTTAAGGACGGATAATGAAAAGAACTAATGAATCAATACTAACCGGTTGAATTGGTTTGCAAAAGCTGTTTCGAGATCGCCTCGCAAGCGTAAACGATCAAAATTGAACCATCATCTCGACCGATTACCAAACGACCTTGTGAGCTCACATAGAGCGTGGCCGTTATCGAGCGATTATCCTTTAAATATATTTCATCTTTTCAAACTATTCTCGTGAATTTCATTCCATTCTACTCTTAATACCTCGAATCAACTTGTGCTCATCAATATCCATTCGTTGATCATTACCGAACATTCACCTTGAAAAACGTCAAAAAAAACTCAAAGATAGCTTATGGCATTAACAACAGATCAGAGGGTTCTTTTCAGATGAACGATGATCACGTCAAACGCACATTCATGTGAACAATGGACGGTGGAGGTGACTGCAAAGACTTCCAGAGCTTTGCGAGACTTGTTTTAGCAGACGCCTTCTGCACAATGGCTTTCGAGAATCGCTGAACAACTTCAGCTTCGGATACTTTCGGCAACGTCCAAACGGCCAAATTTCCGTTAACATCCGCTCGATGCACCGTAAACGTGCACGATTCAGTGTGAAAATCGAAATGGAATGTCATATGTGATGGCCACTGAAAATCTATTTGTTAAACTCAATTAAAAAAAACATTTTCAAAAATTCATTCACAATATTACAGTGAACATCTTAATGTGGAAATGAACACATAAAGCAACAAATAAGTGCTCGAGCAAACGACGTGATTAAATTAACAAATAAAAATTGACCAACCAACAAACTCGCAGACTTGTATCCTTGTAGTGCTGCGTAGACGAATGGTTCATTATGACCATCAAGATCTGCAGGAGTTTTACCAAAACGATTGTGCACATCGTCACCGAATAACGAGCTACAATACTGTCATTAATGATAAGATTGACAGTAACAATAATAATGATGATACTCGAATTCGAATTGAAATTGCTCGAATTCGGTCGTATTACGACAAATTTTTTTTCGAATTCTGTTCTATGTGGTGACATCAATGATGAAATTATCTCATCACCATTAGGATCGAACAAAAACATCGCACCAACCTCCTCGGTAACTGGAATAATTGAACGGAACCATTCGAGACAGCAATTGCAACACGATCAACATCGACGATAACTCCACCGCAAAGGGCTTCATGTGAATCAACAATGAAGCATCGATTCAAATCAGCTAAGTCAAATACCTGCAATATTCCGTTCCTCACATTTTTAGAATCACCTTCATAAGTTCACAATCAGAATAAATGGTCAAGTGTTCTGCCTATTCATTAGTCATTAGTGAATTTCGAATGGAGGTTTCAAGAAGGAAATGAGCTGAAAGAATGACCTGCCACGAATCAACGGTAATGACGAGCACCATCGATCGATTGCACGATGCCCACGAAACGCCACGAACCTCGGTCAAACCAACACTTTTCGACTCTTCTTCATATACTGGATTCGACGCCTCCTGCAGTATTTACTATATTCATCGATACCGTTAAAAGAACGCTTGTCATGATAAGCAATCATAAAAGCAAAATACTTACATGTTTATCGATATCGATCAAGCGCCATATTTTCATCATTCCGCCCATCGAAATACCAACAACACTATCTGCATATAAAATTGTCCGATTACATTTTGAAATAAAAAATTGAAGCCTAAGAAAATCATGAAAACAACGAGTATTAATAAGATCTGACATTAACTTCAATCAAACTTTGGCCCAGATCTGAGCGTGACCGTTCCAGCAATTAATTTCAAGTACGAATTTGTTTTCAAATTGACGAAAACAACAACAACAGCACTGAACAATGAACACAGACCGATATTTTGATAGGTTTTAAAGAATGTTATCGCAGTGAGCCAATCGGGTTCAACCCTCGAACTGAGTGTGAATAATACATTCAAATCTTGAGCATCCAGAACAACCACCTCTGCGTATTCACCAATACAATACAACCGACACGTGCTGAGAATTCCATGTTTTGTACTCTAAAGAATTTATATCATCACTGACATTCCTATTATCATTACAAATATTGTTGCCATCATCAAAGTTATGATGTGATCTAACGTTAAACTGACCAGTATTGTTATCATACAGAAAAATGCTCGAAGCATTCAATGCTTCCAATTAGCCGCAATCCACTTCTTATAGAGAACATTCTTTGAGGAAAAATGGTCACCTACTCGAAATGGTTATGATATATGGTGAAAAACGTGAAATATTATTAGTTCAGTTGTTCCGATGAAACCAATTAATCCATATGCAGAAGAAAAGCTGCATGCATTATTATCTCGCTTACAGTTTATAAAAACTGAATATTCTATCAAAAGAATCACAATATTAATAATAATGATTGTTACAGAGGAATGAATGAAACGAACATAAGGAACGATATGACGATGTACATAAGTCGACAGGACAGTATCCACACTTCGCCCATCACCACTCTCCCATAAACTCAACTGACCATCACTGGATGCGCTCACAAAACGTCTGAAAATTACCACTTCATGAAAATGCTACCAATTAAAACTATGAATAAATATGTTAATGTTTCTCGAGAAATTTATTCGAATAAAAGAATGTGGGCATGATAGAATAGTTGTCTCAACATTACTATTCACATCGAATTACGATGGATGGGATTAATTATTCTTATTACTGTGATTACCATTATGACTGGGCATGATATCACGACTACCACAGAGATCAATTACTTCCTTATTTGCCAAACGAATATTTAATTTCGACTGATCGAACAACCATGAAATGTGATGGTTAAAAAAGCAAGAATATACTGTATTCGAAAAAGATTTACGTTGCATTCGGAGAAACACCAGTGGGTGAAATAGCAGTTATTGCGGATTCATGACCAAGGATCATTATCGTTGCACCCAAATGTCCATCATTCAATAATTTCCATATGATTAATTCACCATCGAACGAACCTAAAGTGTACGAATTTACCGAAATTCATACTAAACGCGAGCAAAATATCATTTTACAGATGGTAACGATAGAATTTCCTTGGAATATTGTTTGATTTGAATGCATCGTTTTATTTTATTGGAGTTTTATTGCTCAAAAAAAGAATGGCTGCGATGAGAAATTGAACTGATTGGGATAACGACTGATAAATGAGTACTTTGAATAGGAATCTAGAGGAGATTAAATAAATTGAAGTGCAACAACTACCTGTAACGATGGTTTTGCGATCGGGTAACGAGCGAACACAGCTGATGCGGTTCCTTGGAGGGCTCTTCCCCCATAACACTAACGGTACGGTTAACCCAGATGAGGGTTGATTCTGGGACATCGATGCTCTTTCGGCTGAATCCACGCGGTATTTCACTGAAACGAAACGTAATAATCAAAGTTTGAGGTCAAATACGTTAATTTTCAGTGAACTTAATTTCTGAGTAAATCGGTTGACGTTAAAGAACGGAGCATTCGAAGAATTCAGGAGGATAAATAATCTACATCCATCTCTTTCATAAATAAATCAAAGTGCTTGCTAGCTCAAGCAATGTGTGTGCACCAAACCGAAAAGCACATTCATATACGCGCATATACATCAATGTGTCTGTTGTTAGTAAGAGACCGAGAGGAAATGCTATGAACCCATTTGCAATTGGATGCATTGCCCTCGAATAAATTATGAGTGCGGCGATTTTAATCACAACAGTTCATTGAAATGAAGTAAAAGTTGGAACAGAACCGTATGCAACTAGTAATAGAGTTCAGAAGTGTATTCTATGCAAGGCAAATAATTTCCATTTGAAAAAACTGATTGTAGCTTTTGACAGTGATCACTGATTTCGATGGTTATCATGAAAAATGTTGGTGTTGCGAGCGATTTAAGTGAAAAAATGCTGTGACAAGACTGCATGGACAGTTCTCAACAATCCACATCCAAAAGGAAATTTGATGTTCTAATTGTAAGAATGAGAAATTTGTGGTGTGGTTTTCGAGTAATTGAATTTTGAATACGATAGTGACTATCAAGTATTGAAAATGAATGAAAAATCCTTGAATAGCAGTCATCTATGCCAATGGCTTGACAAACTTCGAGTAATGGTCGGATAAAGAGGATCGTGTCGGAGTTTTCTCTTCTTAGAATTGATCAGTGCTTTGTCGACTCTAGAAGGCAATTCACTATGTTGATTCTCTGTGCCCGATAGCCGCGACCTGAAATCTGGCATCTTAAAAATAGTCGTAAAAATAGAAATGAGATTTCTGGACAACCACAGTGCGCCCACAATTAGGATCGTAGTTATGCGGTATCCAATAGCTTCTCCGCTATTCGATGTTGAAACATCAACAAAACAACGACCCCCCCCCCCCTGAACTCCATCTTTACGCGTTTATTTGCAATAACACTGAGTCAGATTATCAAAACACAAAGGGTTTATATCATACAAACACAAACGGATAAGATGATCATCCAACAGTGCATACAAATATTCTATTTCATCATGCATATGTTATATCCTCATGCCAATATCCACTCTTATACGTAAACAGTCAAGGTCCTAAACGAAAGGTTCATTCATTTATCACTTTTGCCCGTAGATCACTTCTTCTCCCTTACGAATCGTATCGTTCGCGCTCTGTCGCGACACCATCCCCTCCACCTTCCTGAACCTAACCAGCCACCCAAACCTGCTACCACTCCAGGCGGTAGTCAATCCTCTCGCCTGACCCCGTCAGCGGGTCCCTTATCCACCGAACACACTCAACAACTCGTCTCCTATTGAGAAATTTGTTTAGCAGGTTGAGAAAATTGCTTTGAGCCGATATCAGCATTGATTTAAATTTTCAAACTGTTTTGATCAGGAATTAGTCGATGGCCAAGCGATTCTGCATTTTGTTTCAGGTTAGCGTTCGGTGTATAAAGAGCTCCATCTTGCGCCACGACCTCTGAGATATTGATGCCACAACACTTCTGTTATTTTGAGTTCCGAACACTGTAACAGTTGTAAATTTCCATTATCTCAAAAGAGCTAGCCAAAAAAATGTTGTAAATGCAATAGTTCAAATTGGAGCAAGTTCTGTTGTCGAGCAGTAGGCTGATATCAAAGTACCGCAGCAGCTTGTTGCGAGCAGCCTGCCTCATTGGCAATTAACAATCGCATTGCAAGCGATCGATTCGGGTTCAATTTCTCCAAGCAATCGATGGAATTACCAGAAATTTTATGTTCGGTATTTTTGTGTATAGACTCCATCAAACATTCGAGGAAACTCGCGAAGTTTCTATGAAAATATCATTCAACTCAGCCTGGCCCCAAATTACTAGACACCTACCAGTATGCTCCATAGGAAATTCTTAGATGCTGAGAAATAAAGCTTAGCTGTACGATTTGGTAGATTCCTTCAAAGTTTCTTATCACTTGAAGATTTAGCAAATAGCCATTCACAACTTCGATATCATACAAAACGGGACATCGGTAGCCTATGACTTAATAGATCAGCCTGCATCGACTAGAACATGTGGCCGCATGGCGCAATGGACAACGCGTCGGTCTACGGAACCGAAGATTGCAGGTTCGACTCCTGCCGCGGTCGAAATTTTGCTTTATTCGTTTTTAAAATTTTGCTTATTCACACCAGCCTCCATCACTGAGCAATGTTTATTCATTATGTTCACTTGATAGCAAACAACAGATCATCTTGAAAGCTTATAATGAATTCATTTGAGCATAACGGCATATTCAGCGTTGTGTTCGTGATGTTCATTCGTCTCTTAATGTGTCTATTGCACGCAATTTTAATGTGGTCTAGTGTTTGCATCTATCATTTTCGGCAATGCCTCATGGCAATCGTCTGGCAATAAGTGGGCACAGCTGTGAATAAACAACGCTTGATTAGCTGATATCCGTTCGTGAATCGCCGAAGAATCGAGTATCAAAAACATTGCTGTTACGCAACCATTCAACAATATCTATTCGTTCTTCAGGCAATACTCATCCATGCATACTTCTTCTCTCGACTTTAATCAACCTCAACAAAAGCCAACAAACAATTCAGTGATCACTTCATCGATTACACGCCACTCTGCTCTCGACTCGTCGCTATTTATCAATGCCTATCGCAGGTCTCGACTCTCCTTCCGCCTCCCCTCACAACTCCTCTCGACTCGTTGTCGTTGACTCATTTCTCGTATTCGTTGTTGTCTCCCCATATCTTCTGCCCCGTTCGTTGCTTCAATTCATTCATTTAATCAGCTAACATCCATCGCTTAGCATCACTGCTGTCTTATGACTTTCATTCGTCGTTTCTCTATAGCAATTGCAAATTTATTTCTCATCACCTTTCCATAGCAATTCCCTTCCTTGCTCTGCTGTTGATCAATTAACATCGCTCGGTGCTTATTCCTCGAATGAGTAATCGATTTCGTAATTAATATTTGATTCATTGAACGTCTGACTTACGACCAGTTTTTTTTTTTAAAAATCGTTTCGGTATTCCGATCAGACTCTATGACGTGAATACCTCACGTATAACGTATTGTTGCTTTATCTAATCTTCCTGTTCGTTTTGCCGGATATTTTATTCATTATATCTGCGCTGTTTACGTTATTTGACAGATGTGAACGTATACTAATCCGCATAATCACCGGATCACTGTGTAATTACTGAATAATATTTGTGTTATTACTACATTGACGTGTTCATTTCGTTTAGTTCATTTAGTGGCTCATGAGATCACAAATGGAACAATTCCATCGGTAATATTGGTTGGCTTTTGTTGAGGTTAATTGAATTTACCGTTATTCACTGATGAACATGCCGGAATGACACTTAATTTATTCATAGCAGCTAAAGAAACGCTGACGAACGTCGTTTCGAGTTACACAAAACATGTTTATGCCTTCCTATGATATCAGTTTTAACTGCTTAAGCAGTCAGTGCTGCTGGTTATATGTGTCGTAACAGCCACAAATATCAGTTACTCTGTTATTTGAAAACAACAAATCTGGTTTGACCACAAAGAACGAACAAAAAGAGCTTGCACAATCGATTTGTTGTTTTGGATTAATGTCATTAACGTTGCGAAATATACAACTGTACACTGATATCTTGAGGAGTTGGTTTACTTCAATTGTAACTAGAAATATTGGATTTGTTCATTGGTGCCATCGAAGCTCGCTGATATTACAACTTATTTTGAGCAGTAGCTATCGAAGTTCATGATTGGTCGAAGAGATGAAAGTTTGGATGAAAATTTGTTCTGCATGGCTCTCCATTATCTATGTGATTAATCTATATCAAGCCAAGCGTATACGGAGCCTATTTGCTCCTAGCTGATTATATCTTTAAGTATTAAATACTCTGTATTAAATACGTCTGTAATTCGATTGAAGTGGAACCGGTATTCTGTTTTTATTTCGTAATGCGCACACATGAGAATAGTTATTCAAATGTGTAGTATTTACTTTTCTTACGGAATTTGTTTCTTCACCACGTCATTTTGTGCGATAGACAATGAATGTTTCGGTTGTATTGAGGATTGCTTTGGATGCAGCCTCGCAATAACATCTCCTTCTTTAACACTTGACTTATGCAAGTGCTCACCAATGATCATAAGAATTTGTCGCTATGACAACAGCGAAGTTTTTATTATCAGAAGACATCCAATGAAGAAGCAAATTATCACCATCCTATATTCGACAAATTATTTTGAATTTCATATGAGTGCTTCAAATTTTACGACTCTCGGCCACTTTACCATTAGAATTACCAATTTGTTCATTTGAAAAGAGGACCAGGTTGTTGGATTAAAATCAAAAATTTAATTTCTTCTTAATTCTTTCTGTTTTTATGATTCAACTTCTGTGAGCATAAAAAATATGGGCCTACTTAAAAATATTATTACATTATTCGCTGCTTTACTGATAGCTAAAATTCAATGGTGGCATATTCTGTTTGAGAATTCAGAGCACTCTGCTTGATCATTGTCATTTGATTAATTACTCGTCGCTTGTTGAACGCTTAAAACCAAACAGATTCCTAACCTATCACTCCGTGGTACCGGCATGCTTCTATTTATAATTGTAATGCTCATGCATTCATTTACTCATCCAACCCGAATGAGATGAAGTTTATTGTTGTTGCCTTCAGGTTCATAGGTGAAGAAACAGTGAGTGAGTTGAACAGACGCGTTCCGTTCAATAGCATGTGATTAGTAAACGTCTGTCTCATTAACGTGTTGCTATAAAAACAGTTGCAATGATAATGATATAACTAATTGATTGATGAAGGTGTTATGGAACCTTGTTTACTTCTTGTGAAATAGAGAGTAAAAATCATTCTTAAGAAAGTGTATGAAGACAAAAAACAAAACCATACAAACTGAGATCGCATATCAATGATCTTTGATTCATAACTGTAAAACTGCTGGGCAGTTTAGCTCAACTGAATTGTTTTTGTTATTGAATCTTAAGAAGTTCGTGGATCTACACAACAGGTGTTGTCATCAACGAAGGACTATGTAAAATGAACGTTTCATCCATTTCCTCTTCCAAAATTTCAGTTTTTATTTCTTCACTTAGTTCGAATTAGATAAGAGAGATCCATTCCATTCATCGTTTTGGAACACAGTGTTTTTGACTGCTGAATTTGATATATTTAACTTATTGTTAAACTGATACAAGCGATTTCGTAAGTTTGAAGCTCTCGTTCAATTGATTGGGAACGTATAATAAATGATGGTCTATTCTTCTGGTGATCCCAACACTTCCCCAATCAAGCAATATGTAAAGAAGTCGGCATGGATGTGGAACCTTTATTCTTTACTGAAATTTTTAAAAGTATTACTTGTTCGTACGACTTCTTCACTTGTTAAAACCGGGATGATATTATTAATAGGTAGTGATATGCAGGTGGTTAGTAGGTATGATAATAGGTATTTATTTAAGTATATATCTGTATCTATACTGTTGCTGTTAAAATTGATATGTTTAACCTATTGTTAAACTGATATAATTTGGTAAACGATTTCGTAAATTATTCATAAAGTTTGAAGCTCTCGTTCAATTCAATTTCATCAAAAAAGTGTTAAGGAACACACCAACGCAAATTATCATTGCTATTAATACATTTATTCACATCCGATCTTCTGACATTTCGCGTCTTAAGAGTAAACTGACTGATTCATGAGATCGACACCCATATGGTAAATTCTCCATCATCAACCAGTCACTGGTATCTTACCAAAACACTGTGCGTCTGTCTGTCTCATAGAAGAGAGATTCCTTGAACAAATAACCTAGTGCTAATCATTGCAATCATAGTAGTGCTCGTAATTGTTTTATGACTACGAACAAAAAAGATTTGCTTCCATCGCATATTCTTCACCCATATTTCAATGATATGCTCGTTTATTTAAACAGAAAACGTCACTTGAGTCATAACTCCGTACAATCAAATTCTCCTTTGCTGACTCTGTCATTATTGTAGTGACCAGTCTGAAATCACTGCTGAAAACGAGAGATTTCTTCTCAGTGAATCAGCTTTCCTTTCATCTAGTCACTTCAATCAATGTCTATATAAATCGTTTACCATGATCTCTGAAGATATTGTTTGCAACATTTGTCCATTTTATGATAGAATCACAGTACATGAGAAATCCTTTGAAGTTTATTCGTCGCAATTGATTTTATACTCTCCGTTCTTTGAATTAACCAATATATAATACGAAATAACGTTGTGATCATCGGTAAGAGTGATAGAATAGCTTCTCCTTGGTGAATGCGAAAATCAATGAGGCAATTTTTTTAAAAATAATGAACTTAGAAGATACTCTTATGATCTTATGATGGTAGTTTCTCGATAACTGGAAGCTTTTTCACATGAAATGAGCTGTACTCGACCTTTTCTCAAATATATAATTGATCGTCTCGTAATGTGCGTCATTCCCCGCTTGTGTTGCGAATAAAGTAATGAGAAGATTTCTGCTAAAAACTTACATTCGTATTATTTAAAGTGAAAGCAGATCTGAATCGAACGTTAATTGTATAGACGACGACGACGACGACATGTTGACATGCTCGAAAGGATGGTTAATTATTTTGTTGTGTTTGGCGGTTGTGGTGGAGAGATGTGATACGAGAAGGGGTGGTATAGGAGGGGGACGGATTGGTGGCAGTCGAGGATCATCGGGTGCGAGGATGTCGTCCTCCCGCGGAGGAGGTCTATTTGGCCGGGGTAGTAGTAGCGGCATATCTCGAGCGGGTCGAATTGGTGGTCATAATGGTGGATTGAGTAATCGAGGTGGATGGGGTACTGGTGGCGGTGTTGGATCAAGGCTCGGTACGGGAGGTGGTTGGGGCAACAGACAGAGTGGAGGGTCGTCATGGGGTCGGGGAACGTCCAGTTGGGGCCGTACGCCTAAAACGTCATCGTAAGTCTGCGATTCTTGAAGATTCCATTTGTAATTTCAGAAGGAAAAGTTTTAGTTTCAACTCGCATTTGGCTCCTTATACATATTCATTCCAGTCTAATGGAAAATACCAATGTTCATTGACTCACGTCGAATAAAGTGCTTTAATCCAATATCCACGTATTATTGACGTTCCGAATAATTTCAAATTCAGCATCATTCCACTGATAAAGACTTCCCACTTCCAAAAACAATCCTTTGACGAAACCTTCAACATTCCTGCTCCAAACAAGAGAAATATTATACAAAGCGTTGTTTCTGAACTGTCATGATTAATTCTCAATCCACATTGTGCATTTTCCAAATTTCCTTTCAATTGCAGCTTCTCAAGATCTGGGATCGGTTCACTTGGGCGATCGAGTACATTCAAGAATGCTATTGTTGGCGCTGCGGCCGGTTATCTCACCTATCAGGCAGGCAAGGCGCTAATCCGAAGTGCAGTCGCACCAATGATGTTCGTTTTTTTTGCCGACGGCTATCGTACATTTTGCCATCCCCATTCTCACTTAATCAAGCCGTTGCTTGATCATCACAACATCTATTCTCGAAAGATTCCATTCATAATTTTCATACTATATTTTCTTGACTAATACTATATGTTATATAAGGTTTTTTTTACCACAGTCATTACGTCTTGAAATCGCTCATCACTTCGCAAAGTAACAAATTCGAAAGAAAAATAGAAGGATAGAAGAGAATTTTTCTCGAAACTCCGGTTCGAGAAATATTTCCTAATGCGAAAATACAAATTTGATATTTGAAAAAAAAAGACTTTCGAATTCAAAGCAAATTTCAGGTGGAACCATCGACCATACTATTGGGGTTCAAGTTATTATCCGCAATCGATGTCACGATCAAATATGTGCCGTATGCCAATCGATGCATCCGATCCAAAGTTCGGTAATGTGTATTTCGAGGACGGATCGAGTCGACCCAAGGAGATCGTTTGGAGTTGTGGCTATAATGAGGATTGTTGTGGCTACGAATGCTGTCCATCGCGCGGAGGTGGCTGGGGTTATGGTGGCGCTGCGTCATCATGGCGATTCGGTCTCGGGTACGTTATCACCTTCCTCATTGTTGTGCATCGTTTCTGAATTGTGCACTCCCTATCTTCATTCATCTAGTCATAATGCCAGTGATTATTGAGCACTTTAGCCTCAGTTCAACGATCAATATAATGCATCAAAAATGATCAATTCATAGCATTTTATCTCATTATCAAGAAATATTAACGATAGCTTTTACCAAAAATCAGTCATTCTGAACGCATAAAAATACTGCTCATTTAATCGCATATCGTGGCTCTATGATGTTCGTTTGACCGAAACAAAAAGCATTTTCTTCGATAGTCTTGTAAGAAGTGTTCTGGACACTTTTTTGGTGAGTTCTTTGTAAATCCTAACGAAACCTTGAAGCAAAACCGCGAATTCCATTTCAGAGATTAATTTGAGCAACAGTTCAGCATTTCGAGTTGAATTCATATCGAGTCATTATGAATGTTTTGCATGAATAGATCATGAACTATTCGAAGAAATTCATAGCTACTTTTTTGTCGTTATTATCGTCAATTGGAACCGTTTGAATGCCTGTTAAATCTGAGCATCATTTGTCAGCTTCATTTCGAAAAAACATTTGTGCTTTTTGATTGATTTTGATCACTTGTTGATCATGGCTCAACCATCCGAAAAAATTTCATTAAAAAGGCAGTTTTTCGGAAATTCCTATTGTCAGGTCCGCGACTGAGGTGTTTTTTTAATAGTAAACTTGGAAATCACTGATTACAAAGTCAGAACCAAAGTGATATGTGTTTAGAGACATTGAGTCAGGTTTCAAAAAAATGAATCAGACTTACCTCGTAATTGAACAGTTGCATATCTTGATTGGGAATTAGAATTCTGTTAGATTTACATAGTACCAAACATCTCTGAAGTACAGATATTGAATCTAGCTTATTGTTAGCGAGAAATAGGTTGCATTGTGCACTTTGCATGCTTTATGTATTTGTCTTGTGCAGAAGATATAAGATGCACGATGAATTTATATTTATTATTGATTGTGAATTGAAATAATTTTGATCAGTTCGTGTATTTTTATTCTGAACTCCGTTTTGAAAGCATTTTTGAAGTTTTATGATTCTCGAAATGAATTAATTGCACGTGCGTTGTAGTAGATTTGAATCGGTGACTGTGTGTGTGTTACTGTTTTCTATAATTTTGAAAAGGCTCTTCTTGGAATAAGTTTCTGGATGATGCACAGAAGCTTTGTGATGTAAATCGAGCCAACTTGTGAACAATTGCCCTGCCCGGCATGCTGCATCATTCTTTCGTAAATATCGTTTGTAAATTTATGTGATATGTGAGAGGGCAAGATAGAATTGCTGTGTAGAAAATGAAATTCGAAGAGAACTTCCAAGTTATCGAACGTTTTTCCTTCTCACATGTAATCTACATTATCCTTCCCAGCATTTTCTTTGCTGTTATCTTGATGGCATCCTGTAAGCTTGCTATTCTTTCATTATTTGTGCCTCATCATGTTTTCAAGCGTTCATGCTTTGTTATCTGTGCGAAAATTGTTTTTTTTCTGATTTCTGATAAAAATTTGAAGAGACAAATCACAAATAAATAAAATTTATTTTTCGATTGGTTCTTATTCGTTAGCACTGTGTAGAAGGCCACTTCAGCACATTTTGTCATTTCTGTTGATACAATAACACTGTAGCGGTTTGCACTCCATTATTTTAAATCACATCAGTGTTGTAATTAGCGCATGCAAAAACACCGAAAATATTCGAAAACGACTTCCGTTTATACGTATAGCTGGTGTCCTACAAGTTAACAGTGACAGATATAGTTAACTTTTAATCACATCTGTTACTATTTAATCGAAGTGGAGCAATATAGGGAGAATTCAACTCTTGAATAGCGATAGTTTTTTACAGCGCATTAATCATGCATAATTGTTGCGTTCAACCTCATAAAAGCACTCATTGTCAGTGAGATGTATTTAAACATCGAAAATACTGCAGTGCACATCGATAGTGAAGCTTTGAAAAGGTCTAAAATGTATTCAAAGTTCTAGAAATAGAGTGAGATTGTGTAAACTCCGCAACGTTGCTTTCAGTTGTGTGACATCAATTTGTCAAAATATTCAAATCGCTTTTCAAGTGATTGGTATGAAAAGAGAATGCTGCATATTTAATAATGAAGTCGGGAACTCTGATATCATGTCAACGGAATTGAGTGTATTCATGAATGAAGTCAGTGAGGGGTCATGAAAGAGTATTCGATCAGAATGTTAACATTTTGCAGTATCTTCGTGTTGGTTATTGCAACTTTGTGCTGTGGTATATACTCATGTCGCTCATTCGGTCCAAATCGACAACGACGAAATTTCAATCGACCCTTTACAACCACTGCAACATCATACTACTAAGGGTGTTCTCAATTGGATTCCGGGTCGCTTTCACTAAGCCTCAATCATAGACATTGTCACGTTGTTCGCAGCAACCAAAGTTTAAGATTATCCTTCGTCACATCATTCGATTCAATGGATATTCTGCCTTCCTTAAATGCAAAATGAACCATGAATTTGAATTTAAAGCGTATGTGAACTTGACGCCTGAATAATTATTGTCTCGAACCCTATCACTGCAGCAAATGAGTTGGGCAAGAATGCATCTAATCATACCATTTATATAGTTCAGTACTTCTCATAAGGGGTGAAATTACCCATTGTGGGTAATCTGGAGGTGTCAAGGGGTGAAGGAGAGGATCGGGAAATTAGTCTTTTGTGCATTTGTTACGTTATGATAAAACA